TAAGCAACCAATACACAAATTATTCTTGTTGATTGCTTAATCCATATACATGATATGTGTTTGTGAATCAGTTCAAACCCAGTCTTGTATGTTTTAATTATCATACCTGATATTTATGATATTGCATGAAACCTGACACAGACCTCGCTCATTACTGTACTGTAAGGTGACAAATATAACAAGTAGAGCAAGTGCACTCAATCACAATCAAAAATGTCATACAGACTAACACACATACTACATTTGAAATTTTGATTAATTTTTTTCATTACATCCTTTTAAATGAAGGTGAGTTTCTAACACACATCTGATCCCTACATAGATACTATGTGATTCTACCAAAACATTTAACTGCAATACACAAAGCCAATTTGATTGACAAATCTTTCTTGATGGAGTACTGACAACACAAAACATAAAATTAAAAACATACCTGGCTTAATGTCAATGAAAAGAATTTCACACAAGTTCCATATCAGTTCAAGTTTGTAAAACAATTCACTCTACAAGGACAGAAAAAAACATTTCATCAAACACAGATTTTTTGAGTCTGTGTTTGATGAAATGTTTTTTATATTAATATTTTATGGATCACATAGTTCACATAATTTTTTGAGTCTGTGTTTGATGAAATGTTTTTTATATTAATATTTTATGGATCACATTGCTCATATATTTTTTGAGTTATGTGAACCATGTGATCCATAAAATATTAATATAAAAAACATTTCATCAAACACAGACTCAAAAAATATGAGCCATGTGATCCATAAAACATTAATATAAAAAACATTTCAAACACACTCAAAAAATATATGAACCATGTGATCCATAAAATATTAATATAAAAAACATTTCATCAAACACAGACTCACAAAATAACATAAGCCATGTGATCCATAAAATATTAATATAAAAAACATTTCATCAAACACAGACTCAAAAAATATGAACCATGTGATTCATAAAATATATCAATATAAAAAAACATTTCATCAAACACAGACTCAAAACATAATATGAGCCATGTGATCCATAAAGTATTAATATAAATAATATCTTATCAAAAAGAAATCCTTATTAAACATGTTTAGTTGAAAACGAGAAACAGTAATGTTGGAAAAGCAAAAATATTATCTTCTAACATGTTTTAAGTTGCATCTTATCACAGCTGATGCCCTTTAGATCATGTAATTTAAGTCAAATCTCAAACTTGGTATAGTATTTACTTGTACTTATACTTGATGGTTGACACATTAACCAGTTCTGAATATGTTGAACATACAGATAATGTTCTCAAATTAGGTGAGATATTTTTAAATGATAAATATGTTAGACTAAAATACTGAACATTGCATATTATGAAGTTCTTGATGTATTTTTTCAGTGAGAAATTTAGAATTTTAAAACATACAGTACTTTTTTTGTGCTGAATATTCTGAGTTTATTATACTTTGTTCTATGAAACTTGAATGATTCTTAAAGGATTTCAGGACAGATGTTCATGTTTGCACCAAAGAATTAGACCAGGACCCAGGGATTTTACTGTAGATCTGTCAGCATTACCTTACACCTTATATCTGTAACTTGCCTGTATAGTGATCATGAAACATGCAAAGTTAATTTTAATTTATCAAGCACTTTCATCAAAACGGTTTAAAGCCAAAAAAAAAATCACCCCTATAGAGAAACTGTGAGACCAGAGTACATGGTTGTACATCCACTGGTGTCTATCAATCAAAATAAGCTTTGGTTCAATTATCCCTCACTCTGGTCTTCTAGATATCCAAAAGGTTTGATGTCTGCATCCCAAAGATTTTGGACAATCTGCTTATAAGTTATCAAAACTCCCAAAATAAGAGCAAAGGAATAAATAATAGAAACCTAAATCTAACAACTTCTGTAATTACTGTTACAATCAATGTGAAACTTTCCCAAAATCTTGATTTCCAAATTTATAGGATGTATGTATGTATATTATTTATGTATGTACATATATACTGCAATCTCAAAAATAAGGCGACCCCCATTTTCAGAAGCAATGGGAAATAACAAAAACTGAGTGTAATAACGTTCTTTTTTAGGTTCACAAAATCAATACTATAACTGAACAGCCTGCAGGTGGGTTAGTTGGACATGCAGAAATGCATCATGCTACAGTAAGGGGTAGGGGCCTGTGGTCAGCTGCAATTATAAGGCAATTATGAGTTTAACAGCCTAATTATAAATCAAAAAACATCACCATATAATCGGGCCAATATTGTATACATATATATTTACATATAAATGTCTTTGAAACTACAAGCTGACTAATACATGTAAAAATTATATGTTTTCCAACATTTTATTTTGCATAATCTAGAAATGTGATAATTACTTGTTTTAAAGATTGTATAGTATCTGTTGTATAGTTTGTAAAGATTGTACTTTACAAACTATACAACAGATACTATACAAACTATACAACAGATACTATACAATCTTTACAAACTATACACCAGATATTATACAATCTTTACAAACTATACACCAGATACTATACAATCTTTACAAACTATACAACAGATACTATACAATCTTTACAAACTATACAACAGATACTATACAATCTGTACAAACTATACAACAGATACTATACAATCTGTACAAACTGTACAACAGGTACTATACAATCTTTACAAACTATACAACAGATATTAATTGTATAGTACCTGTTGTATAGTTTGTACAGATTGTATAGTACCTGTTGTATAGTTTGTACAGATTGTATAGTACCTTTTGTATAGTTTGTACAGATTGTATAGTACCTTTTGTATAGTTTGTACAAGCAAACAAGCATGTGTGGTGCAATAAGACAAGAATTCCGACAGAGTTTATCTGAGAACACAATGGAAGAGAACTGTTTACAGTACAGTGGTTACAACAAGAATTGTCTAAAGCAATAAAAGTGTGGAAAAACGTTTATGATATGGCTCTGCACAACGTCTGGGCTGATCCAAGATTATTGGTATAGGTGTACAAAATGTGTAAATGCTTATGAACATGTATTATTACTATTTACTAATAAATGTTTAATTTGTAGTTATTTTTCTTAAAACATAGAACAATAAATAAAAAATATGTAAAAAACAATGATCTCTAGTAATTACAATCTACAAAATTGATTCTCACTCTGGCATCGTACTTGCTAAGCCTCACTGTAAGCCTCTTTTGTTCTCTCAAGTGGAGGGAAAAGACAAATTAATTTTTCTAGATTTCAAACACATTTTAGAAAACCAAACATTATCAAATTACTACTATACTAGTACACATAAAATCACTCATTCATCTGGCTTTCTTACAATGATATAAGTGAGTTAAAAAATATCATTTTTGTTCAGAGCAACAACTTAGTCAACTGACATTTTCAGTAAAGCTCCGGCTTTCCCCTTCATGCCAATTACAAATAACTGTCAGATTTATATAGCCTGAAATGTGTTCTTTCTATTGGTTATAAACATGTGTTATATAAGTGAAGTAGGTGTAAGTAGACAAGAGGTTACAACAAATGGAGTAGTGGGAGGGGCTACTTTGATAGGTTTACTAAATATATTGATACCTCAGCCAATCGAAAAATGAGAGATTCTTATTTTATATTCTATATTATCACTGTTGAAGTTTGAGTTTCTAATTCACTGACCACTACAGACATTAAATGGTAGGCATAATACAATTCTAAACTGACCAATAAGACAAGAGGACATGCAAAGTGACACAAAAACAAGATAATTAGAATTTTGTTGTTGGTATTTTGAATTAAGAAATTAAAACACATATAATTTTAAAATTTGAATTATAAAATATATTTTAATGCCAACTGATAACAAAATTGTTTTATTAAATTTTGAAAATAACTCTCTAAAACATCATGACACAATCTCATTGACCCATTTGTAGCGAGAGGATTAGGAACCAAAAACATTGCTAGCAGAAAGGGTATCCAACTGATGACCTAGGGAAGAGTGGTCATAGAAGATTTTGTAGTTTGCATGTTACTCATAATTAAGACTAATTATTATTAATTGTAATCATCATTGTAGAACTATACCAGCTATGCCATAAATTATTACATGATATCACTTTAAAAAACAACGTATATATATATATAGTTCTAGTACTGATACACAAAAAATTAACAAGATTAAAAAAACACAGACTGAATCTCGTAAAAACTTGTACATTGCAATTATAGAAACATTTTTTCCAAGTTCCAAAATTAATTGAAATTTTTACAAGTTATATAAATTCTTTAAGAGAAATCTGTACTAACCTGTAAAATATATTCATTTTTTATTTCACCATCATGGGCAGAATCTGAAATTGTAGCAAACATATTTGGAATTCAATAAACTAAAGTTCAACAAAACGTGCTTTTGGTTTAACTGTTTTCACAGTGGTAATACAACTTTACAAAAATAGTTTACAAAACGTTTTAACATAAAGAATGTACTTGTACCATTCACTAGAGAAACAAGTTTGAGAGAAAATCACCTACAAAATAAATGGTCAGGGACATAACGTATCCACTTATAGTAGTTCATTAACAATGATAACAGTTAGGAAAAAACTCTGCCATGAGCGAGAAGGTAACTATGGTTACTATAATAAATTACCCAGGATGGTAGTTCAGCATTTCTGCCAGATTGTGAGTGGATATGAATGCAAAGGTAACTTTATTTACTATTATAAATTACCCAATGATGGTAACTAAACATCTCTCTCAGATTCTGGGTGGATAAGAAGAAGAAGAAGGGAACACTGGTGTAACAAATTTATTATTATATATTTATTATCGATGTTTGCTTAGATTACATTTATATTTCAAAACATGCATAGCTTATCGTGTTAGATATGTATTGCAAAACTCCCGCCTATTCTCCAAAGTTGTAGATGATTCTCGAGAGTAAGAATCAAAAATATATGTATGTACGTAAACATATTAATTTGCATTGTTGTGTAATCTGAATTTTCTAGAAAATCTTCCCACACCTATAAATATAACCAACACGATGCACCAAAGAGGAGTGTCTATTATTAGTTTGCTATAATCAGTGTGTTATAAAACTTCAGAAGCTATAACTGTGATTGTTACACTGGTTACTACAATAAATTTTTCATTATCATAGTTCAATGTTTCTCTCAGATTGTGGTGGATAAGAAGGTAACACTGGTTCTGTCAGATTGTGGTTGGATATGAGAGAGAGAAGGTAACCCTAGTTACTACTATAAATTACTCAGGATGGTTTTTCAACATTTCTGTCAGATTGTGGTTGGATATGAGAGAGTGAGAAGGCAACCCTAGTTACTACTATAAGTTACCCAGGATGGTTTTTCAACATTTCTGTCAGATTTTGGTTGGATATGAGAGAGATATGGTAACACTAGTTACTATTATAAGTTACCCAGGATGGTTTTTCAACATTTCTGTCAGATTGTGGTTGGATATGAGAGAGAGAAGGTAACCCTAGTTACTATTATAAGTTACCCAGGATGGCAGTTCAACGTTTCTGTCAGATTGGAAGTACAAAATTATACTTTACTTCAAAATGGAGGGATCAGCTACTACATGAATATCGTAACAGCAGTAATGGTGCAAGGAATGAAACTCACCTTCCCCTTAAACATAACAGAAACATAGTTTGATAATGTTGTTCCGTATTCTACAAAACTATTTCCAATAGAGCAGTAGGAATGTGTACTCTTTACAAGGTATGTTTATAAAGTTGTTTATTACAATACTTCTAAGTATGTGGAAATTACAAACCATTATGGAATGCAACACAAACAAGTGATCATAATCTGTATCAACACCATATGAATCTGGCAAACCAGTTAGCTTGTAACATGTAGTATCTGATTATCAATAAAGAATTTCTAACATGTACAATTTCTTATTAGATAACAAAAGTAGCAACTCCAAATGTAGTCCATTACAAAGTTTACAGTTGCAAGAACAAGAAATACTCACCAGCATCATTTTGAAGGTTTTCTACACAAGCACTAAGCACAGACCGGTATCTGCGGCTTATCTTAACAAGTCTGGGGAGGAAAGAAAAAGACTTAGAACTTATACAAATTCTATATCAATATTTCTATGTACTTCTTTTAGATTAGACATGAAAATTAAAGTGTGTTTTATGCTCAAAAGTTTACCATTTAGTTTTGTTCAAAATAAAATTGTTAATCATTATTACTATTCCCTACACTAACCCTTATTTTACTGAAGTCGAATACACTACATGAAAGTGATTTTCGAGCCTCACAGTGTCATTGCAGCCAATATTGTAATAAGTGCAATGTAGACTTTCCTTAATTCATCTAGTGTATGAGGACAACTGTTCCCAGCACCCGTTTCAACAGTCCGATCAGACAGAAATCCACAGAAGCTGCATCTGACAACTTGATCAGTAAATCTTCGTATGGTATACCATTAACACTTCCTATTATATTCTCCATCTTCTTGGGGTACACAAAGGTTGAACAGAAAATATGAGAGGAAGCCTTATCATGATGAACCCATCCATTGTTGGCTTAGTTTTCAGTTGTAGATCCTTCTTGATTATGTTGCCTAGGGCATGTGAATGGCACTTGCCACTGACCTTTGTTTTCGTGAATTCTCACTCTTTAAGAGATACTGCATTTTGCTTAACATAGCTGATGTATGACTTGTTGCAGATCTCAAAATGGATGGTCCTGAAGCCCCAAACTGATCCATATTCCTTTGTGTCCCAGTGTCATTAAATACATACAAAATTTCAATCTTGGAATATTTTCCAAGCTGAACACATCTTTATGATGTCAATGTATGACTATTTTGTGTAGTAAAGAGCTGTTACACTATTCTCAAAAGCGAATACTTTTTCATGACTATCATAACACGTACAAAATGCCAAACAATTTCAAACTGTGACTTGATATCTTCTGTGGTTGTCATGTGACTTTCTTAATTGCATATTTAAATTTGTTTTAAAATAACGTACTCAACCCTCTGTATATAATCATAAAAAATATAGCTTCTGACACAAAAACAAAAATCTGTTTCTAATTCTGGTATGCTGGGATAAAAGAAATGTAGAAATGTAAATGCTTATATTTAATTGTTATTACCCTGCTTACACTCAAGTATCATTATAACAGCTAGTTTAACAGGCTATAAGTGCATATATTTAATTGTTATTACCCTGCTTACACTCGAGTATCATTATAACAGCTAGTTTAACAAAACAACTTACTGTTCTTTTAAGGCATTATCTTTGACTTCCGTGGCTATTTTCTGAAGAGTGAGAAATATTGCTGAAAAATATAACATAGACATCAATAATGTCATAGAAAAAATGCAAAAGTATTTAATACTATTACAAGACCAATTATTCAAATGATGAAAAGCTAATGCAATGCTCACCCCAAATTATAAAGTGTGAAAAACTAGAATGTTTATCTAATCAGAACTGCGAGAGTTCAAATTCAGTATTTATACAGCTGTTAGTGTCAATAGTACTTATAGAACTTTTAGTGTCAATAGTACTTATAGAACCTGTTAGTGTCAATAGTATTTATAGAACCTGTTAGTGTCAACAGTACTTATAGAACCTGTTAGTGTCAATAGCAGCTACAGAACGGTTAGTGTCAATAGAACTAAAGAAAGTTATATACAATCTTAAAACCATAACACACTCAGTACAAATCTGTGATAACCATGAAATTAATCTAATACACATAGTACAAATCTGTGATAACCAGGAGATTCATGTGATATACTTACTAAAAATATGATAACAATGAAATTAATCTAATGCACACAGTACAAATCTGTTATAACCATGAAATTAATCTAATACACTCAATACAAATCTGTGATAACCAGGAGATTCATGTGATATACTTACTAAAAATATGATAACAATGAAATTAATCTAATGCACACAGTACAAATCCGTTATAACCATGAAATTAATCTAATACACACAGTACAAATCTGTGATAACCAGGAAATTAATCTAATGCACAAAGTACAAATCTGTGATAACCATGAAATTCATCTAATACACACAGTACAAATCTGTGATAACCATGAAATTCATCCAATACACACAGTACAAATCTGTGATAACCAGGAGATTCATGTGATATACTTACTAAAAATATGATAACAATGAAATTAATCTAATGCACACAGTACAAATCTGTTATAACCATGAAATTAATCTAATACACATAGTACAAATCTGTGATAACCATGAAATTCATCTAATACACACAGTACAAATCTGTTATAACCATGAAATTAATCTAATACACATAGTACAAATCTGTGATAATCATGAAATT